TAATTGTTATGCCACAGATGTACATGTTACTTAATATTCCATCTCACAAGAATAAAAATTACCACATCTTATTTATTTTTGTTTGCTACTCAATTTCTTTAATTTATACATATATATATTACTTAATATTCCATCACAATTCTTTGTTATTTCATTAGTATTATATGTTATACTTTATTACGTTATAGTATATGTTTACTTTATTACTGTACTTCGTAATAAATTATATATCACATATTTTCCATTCATTAATTAATAATATTATTTTTCAATACTTACATACAGTAGTTTAATTTTGTTTCCATATTATATCACACAATCTATTATCTTGTTATATTAAATTTTAAAAATGTACTAATTATAAAATTTAATATTTTCATGCCTTACCATTACATACAATACTTAAATATTTTAATTTATCTTAGGGTTATTGAATTTATATTCTAGGTTATTAGAGGGTTATTAGCAGATAACATATATTTGGTTTTCATATCATTTTATTATCATTTTTAATAATTGTTTGTCATTAGTACAAAACCAGAACTCACCATCTTTTCATTGATTTCAAAGCAGCGTATGACAGCATAATATGTGAAGAGCTGTACGTTACCTTCAGAGAATTTAACATACCTGAGAAACAAATTATAGTTTAGGTTAAGCAAGCAGCTAAGCAGGCAGATGCTTTCCAGACAGACCATACTCCACCTGTATAAGACATTGGTGCATCCCGGACTTCTTTAGGGAATAGGTACTCTAGGAACCAACCCGCATTTTACAAATTATACAACTCTTCATTTAACTGTTCTACTCGTTGCTCAAATTGTATAACTGTAATTTACATGTATTCTGTAGTTCTTTATTTCTTATCAATATAGAATACAGAAAGAAATCACAGTTCAGACAAAGTTTTAATTTCTTTAAAAATCTATATTATACATTGTACTTTATTGCCAATTTATTTAATTATAATTATGCTTATTACCAATTTGTTACCATAATAAGGGAGAAATAATTTTAGGAATAAGAAGTGTGATGTCTTAGTTACGGTCCGTCTAGCTTTGTATATGTAAAATAAAATATGAGAAGGAATTAGTCAAGGGTGCGGTCAAAAAAATACAAAAAAAATTAAAATATATAAATAATTTTAATTTTTGCCGACGTTTCGACCCACTTTGCAGGTCGTCTTCAGGGCGTTGGATGTGGCACTGCGGGAGACAGTTGAAACGAGTTGGTTTCAACTGTCTCCCGCAGTGCCACATCCAACGCCCTGAAGGCGACCTGCAAAGTGGGTCGAAACGTCGGCAAAAATTAAAATTATTTATATATTTTAATTTTTTTTGTATTTTTTTGACCGCACCCTCGACTAATTCCTTCTCATATCATATCAACGGTCAACCATCTCTACATCATTAAAATAAAATATGATGGTCACTAAAAACTTTTTTATATAATAGAGAGATATATTTTAGAAAATAGATTTCATTAGTTGGTTTATTCAAAATTTTAAGTGCTTACAACAAGACACTTGAAAAAAATGTCATAAGAAAAACATTTATGAAAAATAAAAAACTTTAGTACAAAACAATTCTAATTCATGATATGAATTTACCGTATGATGAAAACAATTGTTAATGTTCCCTCAACTAACTATTATAAATAATAAATGTAAAAAGAAGCAGGGTTACCCATTCTCCACAATTATGTTGATGCATGCTCCCTCCCAAAAAAATATATCTCTCTCTTCTTAAAAACAATGCAAATGAAAGTTAAATCGTAAAAATGCAGTTTGTTTTTCCCATTGTTCCTTGGTTTAAGAATTCTTCCCCATTGAAACTCCACAAAATATAATTTCCTACAAAAATTATTAACCCCATAAATACTCATCCCCTCAAAAATTCATTACCTCATATAAACGTACCCCCATCAAAACTTTTAAAGGCACAACTTGCAATCTCCTGACCACTCTCAAAAAGAAAACTATCTGAGGATAGTTAAATGTTGCTATTAAAAATAGCAAGCCTAAGGCTTAAAGATTATTTCCAACCAAATTTTACACCATCTGATAGAAATAGAAAAAAAAAATTAAGAAAGTTTCATGGAAGACAAGAGAAATGTAATTTTTCAAGATTGAAGTATTCTGAAACGGCAATCGTTTCCCCTAACTTCTCAATATCCCAAAGCCAAATTTGTGTTTACACAAATAAGTATCAATAATAAAACAATTACTGTAATATCTCAATTAATATATGTCAATAATATGTTACTATAATATTAATATGTCAATTAATATGAAAACAGTGGACCAAGTACCTCTTGTAGAAAAAATCTAGTTTATCTGCTTGAGAGCCAATTGAATCTTTGAAAAATTTGCTTTACAAGAAAATATTTTGTTTAATTTCAAACAAAATTTATGTTATCCATTTTTGTCTTTGCTTTGCTCAAGTTTTTAGGTTATTATATACCAATCGATTTTTTATTTGTGCAAAATAAGAAAAATATATTGATTATGGTATTAAATGAGTTATAAAGTATTTTAAATAAGAAAAACCAAAAGGTAGGTATGGAATAAAAAACTACATAAATAGGGTTGAAAGAGCAGTAATTCAGATTTCCAACGATTGTACTAACAGCAGACAAAAAACAAGTCTCCAAAAAATCAAAAACTAAAAATTTGTATTTACGAATTTTTAAGAATAATAAAAATAAATGTAGCTTCCTTTTTCATAATAAAAATTTACATGGAGTACTTTACTGGAGCAGTAAGCACCTTTTGGTTAATTTTTTTATTTAAGATACTTTATAACTCATTTGATACCATAATCAATAATTTTTTCTTATTGTACGCCAGAAATGAAATTGATTGGAATATAATAACCTAAAAATCCAGGTAAAGCAAAGGGAAAAATTAATAACATAAATTTTGTTTGAAATTATACAAATAATAAGCTTTAACAATAATAAGCAAAGATGAAAAAAAATCCAAGAACGAAGTGGGGAGAGGCGGTAAACAAGAGAGCGAAACTGAAACTGCCTCCAGCATCCAAATTTACAAGTTAAAATAAATAATATATATATTAATAAATATATAAACAATCAATGCTATGTACACGCATGCGATAAATATTATATAAAATGTAATATAGAATTTGTGAATAAATAAATGCTATATACAAATAAATAGATGGTATAGAAATAATAAATAAATATAGTTGCTATATACATCAATACATTCTGGCAATGTTTAATTATATTGAACAATAGCCAATTCGTCCGGAAAGGTATGAATCGGCTCTCAAAATCGCCGCCGCGGTAAACCTTGCCGCCCACCAAGATGAACCCACGAACATCTTGGGTGGTTTCTCCCTTACGACTCATACTCCCTGCGCCAGGGCGATGAGTGCAATCGGAAGGGAGTTCGCGAAGGATCTACGAATCGGTCGTTGACGTTCCGGCGTGAAAGCGTCACTATTGAGTTTAAGTCGCGGGTTCCGGCTAAAACGGCTTTTGAGTGACGAAAAAACAAGGAGCGGTTATCGAAAGGTCGAGACAAGACCTTACTACGGAACTATATCCTGGCTTGTCCATCGCGTGAGCGAGAAACTTTACGGCGGTCCTGCTACGGGTTGATATACAGACCCGTCCGCCATCGCGAATGCGAGGAACTTTACGGCGGGCCTACTACAGGTTGATATCCACACCCGTCCCCCATCGCGAATGCGAGAAACTTTACGGCGGTCTGTCGAGGATATTCCTTACGGACCGAAATTAGCGGCAAGACACAGAAACGTCGTTATTCCTAATGAATTCGCGCATCCTTCCCCTCTTACGGTTGAAACGTGTACGAGGGCGATATACGCGATCTGTATGGGAGTTAGCGACGTTACGTGGTACAAAAGCGTCATGCCTGTGTTCAAGGTGCGGATTCCGAATGAACGTGCCTTGGAAGTATTCATCACGACGAGGTGCCACGGATGATGAGCGGTTGCGACTACGATATGCAGCGGAGTAACTTCTGGATGGTGTGTCCAGATATCTTCGATCAGCGGAGTTACCACGGCCACCTATCCTATTTCAGTGGCCACTGCTTGCGGGACCGGACTTTCTCGGTGGTGCTGGCGCGTCTTGAACGAGGAGAGAAACGCCTGTTGCAAGTTGTTTGCCGATGGGAGTTTCTACACAAGTGTGGCCGACAAAATCGACTGATTTCACGTAAGATTTCTCGGTTTCGAAACAGGAGCGATTTTCATTATGTAGCACACTGTGGTGCTTCTCGCCACAAAACATACACGAAAACGATGACCGACAGTCCAAAAGTCGATGGCCGGGCCTGAGACAATTAGGACACAGCTCAGTCGACTCGACGAAATTGCAGTGGTCTTTGATCGCAAGCGCCAAAAATCTTTTTTTTTTTTTTTTTTTTTTCTTCCCTACCTCGCCTTTTAGGCTATACGGGATTTTCCCGGGCCGGGGGGTGAGGGCGGGGAATTTAAAATCCCCTCCGGCACCGGGACGCGAACTCGTACTTTTTATATCATCTCAAATCTCTGTTATCCGGTTGCCAGGCAACTAGCGGTGCTGTTACACACGCTTTAGCCTATTCGGCCACCCCGCCCCCCAAAGAGCCAAAAATCTAAAACACCGCGCCAGTGGGTGCCTTCCATTGCAATGTAGGCAGGGGGTCCTTAATGGGAGAAGTGAAATTTCTCCGTGGAGATCCCTCACGCGAACATCGGCGTATGGTTGCACTCTCACAATTCCTAATCGAGACTTTTCGCTTAAAAGGAGAGTTAAACGGAGGACCAGCTTTCCTCCTGTCCGAGTACTGGGCGCGTGACGGGTCCGAAGGTGCAGACTCGAATTCACGGGCCATCTTAGAGGACATCATCCGATGCCTCACAAAAGCGATGACCATATCCGCGGTAGGGAACTCGTTACTTGCGTGTGAGAGTTCGAACTGTCGTCTGGTGTTGGGGTCCAACGCGCGGAGAGCCAAGGTGGACATGATGACTTCTCCCTCGTTTTCCAGAGCCAACGCGCGGAAGCTCGCTATACTTTCTCCCACAGCTGAGAGGTAAGCTGAGTGTTTGGAATACTCGCTGCCGGAAGTAGGGGCCCTATGGTTTAAAACTCTCTGGAGGCAACGAGACGCATGAGAGCGTCCCAGGCCACCTGGTATGAGCCGGAATCGAAAGAAAAAGCAGATAGAAGCGACGCCGGTTCGCCGATAAGCGCATTTTTCAAGTAATGCATTTTACTTATCGGCGTTAATTGGGTGTTGTCGTGGATCAGGGACACGTAGGTGTCGCGAAAGTGCGTCCAATTCGACAAGTCACCGTTGAAAACGGGCACGTCTATGACCGGAAGTTAAGGCGGATAAAGCGAGGGGATTGAGCCAGACTTGGCGTTATTTTCAACCGCGGCGCGATGCGAGCTTAACCTCCGATATCCCGCCTCTATTTTCCGTACTTCCCCCTGGATGGCGTCGTAGCCTGTTTCCCATTCGGGCGGATAGGCTGAAGCACCCTGGGACGTGTAGAGCGCATCTAATTCCTCCCATATATTTTAATATTTATCCCACGTCAATTTTGACTCCTCATAAATGACTTCGAATTCGAAGAAGTCTCCGCCGCCTAAGTCCGCGGCTTGGATAAACAATTTGTTGAGACGGCGCCCGAGATGGCGAAGCTTACGCTCAAGCTCGTCACCGTGGCCAGAAAAATCGTTCAACTGTTCGTTACCCATGGTTCGAGTGAATTTATGATTCGAGGAGATAATCACTAAGTATATCTAACTAAGTCGCAAAATTGTGAGAGAAGCAAGAAAAATATTTAAGTACTTAAATGTGACGCAAAATACAAGTTATCAAATAACTATATAGAATCGTCAAATAATATCCTCGCATATAAATTAATGAAGATAAATAATTAAATGAACATTCATATATATACAAACCAATAAAATATAAATAATTAAATAAATACCTATACATATAAACGAATGAGATATAACCAATATAATAAATATTTATAACAATAAATCAGACATGCATGAAAAATAAGGTAATAAATCTATATAAAAATCAACAACAAACATGAAATAGAAAATAAAAACATGCACACACTTAACAATAATAAATATGAAAAATAATTTAAGAATTAAAATATAGATAAATAAAGCCTGAATAAAATTGTTCATAAAATAAAATGCAACAATTTTATTAATTATGCAAGAATATTAATAAGAACAGTTACATGTTTCAATATTCTGCTCGTATATTATAGTGTACGTATGTCATTCGCACATTTATGAACTGACAATCATAAATCACGCTAAGTGCGTCTAAGCTGAAAGCTGAAATAATGCAATGATTCATAGACTATATAGCGAGATCTGAATTATTTGGAAGCTGGAGAATTGAAACACGTACAACAGAAAAATTGGAAGTAGTGGCGGAAGTAAGCAAGACTGTTGTTCTCAATGGAATTAGGCGGCAGTGACTGTTACTTGAAATGGTATTAAGACTCACATACTGGCTGTCTAAGGCGTTTAATATTACGTTAATTAAATACAACATTTTCGTTTGTAAATGCTGCTAGTATTGAAAATTTTTAATTAATTTAACGTAAAAAAAATGTAAAATAAATAACCGAGACGAACCTAGAGTTAAACTGAACCATTAAACAAATTAAAATATTGAAATGATGGGCGGATGTTTACAATATTTTCATTCACAAGTATTCCTCACCCGCGGCACCATATGTTCAATATTAGGGGGCCCGGTACATGCCATATGACCGGGAGCCCTGTTCTTGAGAAATATGAAAGGAAAGAAATGTTCTGTGGAGGAATACTTGTGAATATATATAAAATGACCTACGTACGGTTTGATGAGGGGGCCGATCTCTCTCTCTCTCTCGTTCGTCTTAGGTCCTGGAAAGCCGAAGGGCTGTGATTCTTCAGGTCTGGTTATGAGGTAGGCTGTAAAGCTGTCTTCTTACTTGCTTCGCTCGCTAGCATCTGACTTTTGGTCGTAGATAAGCCTGTCTTAGGGAGGGGGTAGTGCAGGATGAGACTGGGGTACCCCGTGTTGTTTATATAAGGATAATAATCATATACAAAAATATGGATGTAAATCCAACACTCCCCTTATTTTTATTATTATTTTTTTAATTGAATATTAATACAATCTGCCACATTAAAGGGCATTGATCTTAAGGCTACGCGAATAATTCACACAATATGTAGATTCAAATAATAACTGAGAATAATAAAGAATAATAGAAATAATAAAGAAAAATAAAATAAGTAAATAAATAATAGTAATAATAAAATAAAAATAACATCTTAGACGCAGGTATATCTATTTACACTATTTACAATCGGTCATGGGAACTCCGAACCAGACTTGTTCCCCCACTTGTGGGGACTTCAGGAGATCCCTGCGCTTCTCCCTCAATCACTTCACTGGTATTAAAAGCCAGCGGAGGCTGAGTTGGGCGCTACAACCACAGACGCTCATGACTTGAGTGGAGAATCTGGCCATTGCCAGAACTCCAATATATACATGTTTCAAAAGGTCACGGGGCCACTGCCGTTTTAATCGGCGAGGAGGATTGTAGGGATGATTGGTGCTAGATAGGGACTGTGCTACGGGATTAGGGTGATGGGTAAGGTTCTGATGCAATTTGGAAAATTTGTTTGGGATAAGATCAAGAATAAATAGTTCTAGTCCATAGGTCCAGATGGGTTTTAGTATTGTCTTGTAGATGAGAGGTTTGTTTTCAATGGAAAGTTTAGATTTTCTATTAAGTAGTCTACATAGTTGGCCATAACGTCGGTTAAGTTCCTCTCTTTTCAGTCTAGTATGCGGATTCCAAGTTAGTCGTCTGTCTAGGAGAAAACCAAGATACCGGACTGTGTCGGAGCTGGATGGAATTAAAGTAAACTGGTGGACAGGAATTACGACGAAGGGTGAAGGTTATATGTTTACATTTGGATTCATTGACTTTGATGCGCCATTTCTTGCATCAGTGTTCAATCAGAGATAGGTGACGTTGTAGGTTTATGGACGCTGTTTCAGGATCTGAGTTAGAAGATAGGATAGCATTGTCATCAGCAAAAGTTGTCAGGAGTATTTCGGGATGGACAGGAATGTCAGCGGTATAGATGATGTATAGGATGGGACCCAAGACGCTGCCTTGAGGAACTCAAGCCTTAATTGATTAACAGTCGGAAAATTCTGTACCACAGCGAACTCAAAAGGAGCAGTCGGAGAGGTAGGATTGGAGTATTAGATATAAGGACTGTGATAGGTGGGATTTGAGCATGAGAGCAGTCCAGCATGCCATACCCGGTCAAAAGCTTGCGCTATGTCCAGAAATGCACTCGAGCAAAACTGCTGGTTTTCTAGGGCTGAGGATATGTCGTCAACAACTCGGAGTTCTTGTTGGACGGTAGAATGCTGGGATCGGAATCCATACTAATGGATAGGGATTTTTTGGGAATCTATTATGGGTAGGATTCTTTTCAGGAGGACCTTTTCAAAAATTTTTGAAAGAATTGGGAGTAGGCTAATTTGTCTATAGGATGATGTATTATTGGGAGTCTTGCCTGATTTCAGTAAAAGGATGATGGTGGAATGTTTCCTTAAGAGAGGGAAGTGGATAGTTCGCAGGATACAATTGTATATATATATAGGTTAGAAATATGATGGCTTTGGATGGTAGTTGTCGAAGGATCTGTGAGGTTAGATGTGTGACTCACCTAACTTCACGTAGTGCGGCATGTGGTGGCAATATGACTTAGTGTGGCCGTATGCCTGACAATTGTGGCACTGGACGATTTCTTTTTTCGGATATAGTTTTTCAACCTTTATAATGGTATAGTATAGTCGATGAATGTCGTATATTTTTTCCACCCCTGGTGTTGGCTCCAAATCAACAAAAAATAAGGGCAGTGTAATTTTAGTTTTTACTCCTGGCAGGTCTCTTTTCTTTTAGAACGTTTGTTATTTGGCGAACATTGAACGCTAACGCCGTTAGCTCATCCTTGATAACTTCAATTGGGGTTGAGAAATGTAAGTTTCTTATCACCACTCATAATGATCTATCCTCCCTCAGCTGGTATGTGTGAAAATCCGCACATGTTTCGGTCTAATACTTGATTATTTTTGATAGGCTTCAGGAGTGGCCGGTGTTATTTTTGTGTCACTAGTCCTTTTAAGGCATGAAAAGCTATCGGGACAGATTTTATTTAGTTGGATACATAAAATTGAAAATGTCTTAATATTTTTGATAAAGATCGGAGGAAGCCGTGGTTCTCTATGTATCGGTGCAGAATCCATCTCCTCTCTGTCATTTTGAAGCACCTGGTATGGGTTGGGTGTAAAAAAGGAAACTCAGAGACCATTTGTTGTGTAGAGGTACCTGGTTGTGGTTGAGGTGTAGAATCTTGAATTTTCGCTGGAGGAGTTCCGGGGGGGGGGGGGGGGGTGTCGATCGCTTACTACGATGAGTTTTTTGTTTAGGTGGTGAGTTACGAGGGGTGGAGCCAACAGAATGAGACCTCTTAGTGGACATCACTTGATGAAAATATCGCATATAAGATTAAAAAAATAAAATAAAACTTCATCTGCGTGTCCTTAATCTTGGAGAAACGATGAGTGCAGCTCACGAATGCTGGAGAGGGGAGTCTCAGACGTAGCAGATAATGGCGATATAGCGAAAAGGCACCTAGGATACTGGCTTCACTGTCTATAGAAGTACACAGTAAACATCAACACTACTCACTGTGGTATCAGTCCATTGTTGTTGCTGCTGTGTTGATGTCAGCGTTACTAGTTTTTAAGTAAAAAAAGTACACTTTTTCCACTTAAAAAAAGAGAAACTGTGGGAGAAGAAGTATAATGTGGCAAATCAAATCTAGCGCATGCGCAGAATTATACATACAGAGAAAATGCCTGTGTGGCCATACATTAAATTAAATATTTACAAAATAATATCTAATTTTAGTAAAATGTAGGAAGAAGAAAGCATACAGATATATATAGAATAAACACAAGAAAATGAAGTAACATAAGTAAACAAAATAGTTTCTGGGGGGGGGGGCTTAAGAAGTTCTCTAATGTAGATTTTGTGATCAGTTGGGTTGGGAAATGAGTAGGTGCTTAAAAAGGAGAGATTTAAATGAGGAAACTGATTGTGCATGTTGGATATCGGGAGGATAGAATTCCATAAGGAGAGGGCTTGAATTACAGAGGATTTGTCAAATACAGCAGTTTGGCGATGAGGAGGATAGAGGTCGGAAGGACGGGATCTGGTTGGATTGAATGGAGGATTTAAATTGTAGGCTCTGAAGAATATAAATGAATCACTGACTTCTAAGGGCCTAATTTAGAAAGGTAGCAAGGAAGTACTGATGGCAGTAGGATGGATAGAGCCACTTCAACTCGGTGTAATACTGGGCAATATGCGTATCTCTTGAGATCCCGAAGACTAAACGTATTGAGCAATTCACTAGATGTTTAAGTTTGGCTTTGAGTTCTCCCGAGAGTCCACCAAACACCATACAACTATAGTCAAAGTGGGGGAAAACAAGAGAGGAAATCAGGTGTTGACAGGTTTTTTAAGGAAGGAGATAGCGTTGACGGTTGAACTGTTTCAGGATAGAAATAGTACAGCAGGAAATTTGGAAACATACTGGGAGCGACCGGTGAGGAAGGATTGGAACCAATTAGGGCACTAGAAGACAAGGAGATATTTTAAAGTTTGGTAAGGATGATATTGTGATCTGCTGAGTCAAAGGCTTTGGAAAAATCAAGGGCAATAAGGATGATGTGTTTCTGTTGGTCTATAGCCGTGTGGAGATTTTAATGAGGGCGGAATGAGTAGAGTAGTTGGGTCTAAAACCGGATTGGTGGCAGTTCGGAAGGTTATTTTGCTCGAGATAGTGGAATATTTGGGATTGAACTAATTGTTCTAGAGCTTTGGAAAAGTTAGAAAATATGGAAATTGGGCAGAAATCATTAATCGTCACGGGATTGGAGGTTTTGTTCAGCGAACGAACAAGAGCAGTTTTTCAGGTGCTGGAGAAAGTGAAACTTTGCAACAAGAAGTTATAAAGGATAGGAAGAATGGAGGGAAGTAAGGATTTAATCAATATAACCGGGATGTTGTCTGGTCCAAAATCATTGGTTTCGGGTTTACGAATGGAATTAAGGAGGTCATCAGAATTATATGGGGAAAGAAGAAATGGTTTGGATTGAAGGAGGGAAGAATCGGAGCTGGAGCTGGTGCTAGGAAAGAGGAATGGGAGGGGGAGGAGACAAAGTGAGTATTGAGTACGTCAGCTGGAATAGGGATAGGCTGGGTTTGGGTGCGTTTACCTAAGGGCAATTTACGGAGGATAGCCCACTTGGCTTTGGAACTTGGAGTGCTGGACAGGGATTGATGGAAATATAGGTATTTGGCACGGCATATTGCAGATTGAGTCCTGTTTCGGAGTTCTTTGAAGGAGAGAAAATCTTCAGGAAGGCGAGTTTTTTTGAACCGCTGTCTCGTAGCATCTCTTCTTCTCATACATTCTCTCAGAACGGGTGTTAGCCAAGGAGCACGATATTCTAGGATGGCATGAAGGTGGGTGGGTGGTAAGGGTTTCTGCCATGGTATCAATGGAGTTTAAGTGATAAATGGATTGGATAGCATCGAGATCATGCGAGAGGGTTTCATTCATATGTTAAGAAATTGAGGTTTCGGAAGGATATAGTTTGGGGAGAGAAAAAATTTGTAGGAAATCTGGATAAGAAGATAGGAATGGGACCGGGTGGTGAGATGCGGCAAGGTGTTTGTCTGAGGAATCTAGGATAAACAGATTGAGCTAGGACTCCGAGAACTGGGTATGGTAAGTTGGATTATAGGGCACTATATAGAGGCCAATGGGATTGAGGAGGGTTGTTAGATAAGAAAAATTAGAGGATGGAATTAGTTAATTGGTATTGAAGTCTCCGGTTAGGATATCATTGGAGTAGGATGGGATTAGGTTGTAAAAAGTAGTATGAAATGCTTGGTCAAAGGGAATTATAGATGGTGGATAGATGACAGCAAAGAGAAGGGAAGACAGAAGATGAGGTGGTGAGGATTTCACCTGATATTAAAGGTGAGGAGAATTGGTTGGAGAAGGGCAATTGAGGATTTTGGATTTAAGGCTGTCATTAACAAAGAGACCTACGCCACCACCCGTTCGGTCCACTCTGTCATGACGAAGGAGAGTATAGTTGGTTAGAGAAATCTGAGAAGATGGGATTGATGGCTTTAGAGATTAAATGGTAAAAGTTGTGAAGGAAAAAGTCATAAAATTGGCTAGGAGTGGAATACAGTGAAGCAATTGATTGCATACTTATCATGCAAATATATATACAACAGAGAGGGACTTGATGACCACCACCTGCTGGCCATACCACTTTGGGAGCCATTTGACTTTGCCCCCCTTAAACCATACCTATTTTACTATCCTGGCAGACCTCTGCCGGGCTAACCAATTAAGATGTATATTCTTTTCAGCCCAGGTGGCACGTTGAAAAGTCCCTGACGACCTTCCTCATCCTTAAAGGATTGCTGGACGAACTTCACCAAAAGGGGACCGAGCGTATTATCTTGCCTCAATCTCATTCGCTCCATGCAGTAAATATCCTCCAGCCTCAAGCTCACACCTAGGCCCGCCTCCACATTCATCACTAAGCCCATGGGAGTCTCACGGGGACTCCCCTTATTTCTACTGACCTGGCTAGGTGCAATTGTTCGGATTTATTGAGCCTTGTCTCAAGTTCCATAATGCACAACTTGAGTGTTGAGTTTTCCAGCATGACACCATCAATTTTTGAATTTTTGGTCTCCAAAAGTGACTCTATTGTTTTTAATTTCTCTAAATTTTCAAATGTGATAGGCAGTCGGTTTTTCGAGAGATTATTTTAATTCTTTGACCTCTCTTGTGTTGGTATCGATAGAGAATTTCAATTCCTTGACTTCCGCCGTAAGGTTCTTGATGACAGACAACAGCAGCTGAGACGTGTGGTCAACCGTTGGGTCGCTTTTGGAGTGCTGTATTGCTTATCACTAGGTGGGATTTTAAGGGACAATTAGGGCATACCAAATTCTTTCTCGAAGCTCTTGATCATTTAAATTCCACCTCCTCTAAGTTGAGGTATTTGCCGTGAATTAGAATTGGCCTAATAATTAGAAATGGTACATGTCAGAGTTTTTTTTATCTTCCTTTGTCACTGTTAGTTTACAAATGGGGCATTGAACCATTTTGCCTGGTATAACAATAATTTAGTCAATGGCAGAATGAGTAAAAGTAAAAAAAAAATAATATGTAAAAAGATGCTGCATGAAACCGACGTACCCTAACGCTGACAGAGAGGAAACTGAGACATAGATAACGATGTGCTGTATGTCATCTCTATGCCTTCACTCTCCTATCCTTTAGATAACTAACATGGACTAGTACCTGTATAATTCTATTAAATCTCAACTTGATATCTTGACTTCCTTCGACACGGGATGTAGGTAAATTGAAAGTTTGACCTCGTAAGTGGAAGCTTCACTATTTATATATATAGTCAAAAAGCACTACTAACCTTCTTCTTTCTCTATCTCCTTTGTGCTATTAAGCATGGTGTACTCTTAGCCCACCTTTGGTATGTGTCCCTATCCTGGGCTTTCCTCTTTATCTCCCCCAGGGTCGACTCCCGCTCTTGTTCGAGTCTATCCATATAACTATTATATGTGATTCTCGAGTGTCCAACCGGTCGTTGCCCCCTCGGTCTGGCCTCAATCAGTCACCTAGCACTATGCTTGTCCCTTATTCTACATGACATACCACTTGAGCTGGCGCTGCTCTATGACATCCCTTAAATGTCTAACTCCAAGGGTATCCCTAACTGTCCTGTTCCTCACACAGTCTCGTCTCCTCATTCCAGCAACTCTTCTGAGATACCTCATTTCTGCTGACGTCACTCGTGAGGCATTCTTGTCCAAGAGTACCTAGCTCTGAGCTCCATTTAACAAGAATACTAAACTCCGACTTAAAACTACTGAGAATAATAATTAGGCGAGAACAAAATAAAAGTTGTATGCTTACAGTACTGAGGTCTAGACCACATTGATGGTAGTGGGGAGAATCGATCCCATCCCCTCCAGCCTTCTCATATTGGGAATACACCTCTATATTATTCTATACTCTCTGGTTGTTTGTTTCAAATTAATGCATCTCAATTAAGTCTACTATGCACGATATTAAGTCCAGCAAGACCTCCAGTTGTATTCCTTTTACTGCAGAGGGATCTTAACATCTATTATATATAACCTTTAGAACCAACTTAGATTGACACTAATTCTTTATTTATTTTATATATATTGTGCCTCTGTTGCCCATTACCATCTATTTTAATACACCTTTCTGACGTAGCTAAGACAAACCAAAGGGATGATTTCATATCCCTTTTTCACCAAGCCATTCTGCTTTAGCATTACATTATCTATCAGAAAGATTGATTTCCAGTTAACTGCATGCAGCTTTGCAGCATCTCTATTGATTTTATTTATCCATCTGGTTTCTGGCCTTCCACTTAGTCTGTTACCAACTATTGAGCCAAACATTATTGTATTGAGGCTTCATAGCCACTAAATGTAATAATTTCTGTTTAGCAGTCATTGTATAGTGTGAGTAATCTCCTACATATTCATTTTAAAATATGCATCTGGAACGGGATCTATAGCCAAAACATTGAATTGAATCATAATAGTGGAATACTTCTTTATGGTTGGTCCATCCTTTAGTAATTATCAGAATATAACATAATTTTATGAGTAATTATAATTTTCCCAGAAATTTGTGTTCTCTCTTTATTTTTTCTTATTTCTTATTATTATATTATGTTATGATGACAAAAGTTTTCATTTGTGCTGTCTCCAGAATTTTTTTTTTTTTAACCGTAATATAAAGTTGTTAAAGAAACTGAAAATCCTTTGAGATGTGATTGTTTCAGATTAATATCTATAGCAGTAACTTTTCAGCATACTGTAATTTTATTTTCAGAAAACTTTAGAAACGTTAACAAGAGTCTTAGCAAGACATGTTTATGGTTTGGAACTTAATGATTTGCCTCTAGATCGTCTAAGTGAACAGAAATCTAAAAAACAGCGTGGAGGTATTAAACCCGACAAGTGTGAAACTACACAACAAGTTGAACATGAAAGTTTGTCAAAATCTTCAATTACTAATGGTATGTATTTCTTGCTAAATCTGAATTATGCATGCATAATCTTTGATTAATGGTTTATTGAAGCTAAAAGTTCAAGATGGTTGGTTGGTTAATTTAATTTTAAATATGTTAAATTTGATTTTTTTTTTTCCTTTACCTGAGGGTGAAATTAATGTGGTACCTTTTTAACTGGTGGTTTGCACAAGGCTAGCTCTATTCAGCTATATGGGTTTTCTCTCTTCTCTTCATCTTCCTCCTTGGACTGGGGATCCCTTGTTGTTTACTCTATTTTTTTATGAGACAATTAGAAAGAAAAAACCTTTAAGATTCAGTTAAACCTCAACCATGGACCTGTTTTTTTCATGTCCAAGTGATAAGGGATGCAATGAGTTCCACCTCCATTCCAGAGATAATAGCACTCTTTCAATCTTTTTAAATTAATAATGAATTTTAAATTATTAAATTTTCAATATGTTCAAGGCTGCTATCTGAACAATTGTGTTTAAATTTCTCATTTGCTTTTACTTTTGTTGTTTAAGAAGCTTATGATTAAATTTTATCACACAAATCAAAATATTAAATAGTGTGTAAACAAAAATATAAATGGTAGTTTGTTCAAAACTGCTTATCTCCGAAAGTTCTTCACCGATTTCTTTTAAATTTTGACACGTGGCAATAATATTTAGAATTTTTTTTCGTATACGTTTCATTATTATCGGGCCTTTCCTTTCGAAATGGTGGCCGAAAAACTTGATTCGCTTTAGACTGTAGCGCCAATACGATTTCAATGAAACTTGGCTAAAGTCTTCCCCTTGAAACCTTTATAATTTATGTATATAGCATACTTTCCCGAAAACAAGCTGCATACATTTTTATGATGAATTCAGTATTTTATTTGTGAATAACTCAAAAAGTACACATTTTTTTATTGATAATACTAATATTTATCTGAAAGCTTCCCGAATTCCTTACAAAATAAAAAAAAAATCATCGAAATTGATAACAATTATCTCCGAAATGAAAGATATCGTAGCGGCCGAAGAAGTAAAGTGGGTTCAAATATTTTTTTAAGGAGGAACAAAGTTGAGATTTGTATTTCGCAACTCGATTTATTTTTTATTTAATTATATCTTTTCCTCAAATTTTTAATAGCTATGGTCGAATTTCGACCACTGGGCGAACACTAGTAATTGTTAATGAAGTAGTATACAGTCGAGCTTAACAAGACATTACAATTAACGCACCATGAACGAGGATAGGTAGAAGATGTGTGGCTGGCCTGCTTCAAAGCTTTGGATGATAGAGCTGATGCAATTATTGGACCAGCTCTGAAGGAATGCCGTTCCCCATAGTTTGATGACGAATGCCCAAATGCAACTCACTAAAAGAATATGGCGTATCATGCTATGACATAATGGGGGGCGAGAAGTAATGTCGGGGATTACAGGAGACTTTGTCGAGAGGAGAAGAAACTTAGGAAGGAGACGAACAAATTTAATAGCGAGAAGAAATGTAGGAAGATAAGTCAGAATAAGCGTGAAGAGTTGCAGAAATTAGAAGCCTTTCCCGGAAACAAAGATTTAAGAGAATTCTTCTGCAGGATAAATGAGCTCAGAAAGCTGTTAACTCGGACCCAGACCTCTTGCCTAGATAAAGAAGGCAATCTTCTTACTGATAGGTTGAAGTCCTAGCAGAATGGAGAAGACATTTTGTCGACCTCCTGACTGAACCAGATGTCAACCCTGAGGCCATTAACAGATGTCTACCTGATGTGGGAGATATGGAATCTGAGTTAGAACCGCCCAATGAGAAGAAGATTGAGGCAGATGTAAATAGGCTGAAGAACCACAAGACTCCAGGGTACGATGGACTCTCTACCAAACTTTTACAATTTGTAGGCAAAGAAATAGTGAAGGCATTTCAAAATCTTTTTATGTAAATGTGTGAGAATTAAGTAATACTTTCAGCATGATGATCTGTCCGATTCACAAGAAGTGTACTAATTGTAGAGGCATATCCTTACTGACTTCCGGATACAAAGTCCTCTCAAACGTGCTATTCACATGTCTCCTTCCCTACGTTGATAAAGCAATTGTTCTGTACCAATGTGGATTTTGATGTGGAAAATCGACTGTTGACCAACTATTTAGCTTGAGAACCATATTGGAAAGAGGACATGATACCTGGCATTGGAGGATTTCATATCTCTCAGAAACGCATCCTTATGGTGAGGCTGACCATGAATGACATGTGTTCAATGCGCATTGGTAGAAATCTATCCGAGGAATTCTGAGCGGTGAAGGGACTATAGCTGGGTGACATCCTTGCATGCCTCTTATTCAATATTGCCCTGGAAAAGGCTGTGAGAGAAATGGGAATGCAGGTTGAGCAGACAATTTTTAGTCAGAGTTCCATCCACTCGTTGACTCACAAAAAAGTTGGTATTTCCCAAACGGTTTAAGATAAAAAAATATTGGCAGAATCAGTTAAAAACGAGCCATAATACACTCGACCCGCTGTAATTTATATTGCCTCTTATGGAGGATCCTAGAGTGAAGTTGCACTCACAAGCAGGGGTTGCTAAGAGAGGCACAGCAATCAGTTCTTTTGGACACATCACAAATCGTTCGGAAATTTTTAAATATTTAAAAATAAAAATAATATGAAGGTGGCTGGACATTGTCTTCCACCTCAGTTATTCAACTGTGTGACATCATCCATATCACCTACCCATTTTGTTTCATAAGCCATATCTCTGCCATTTATTAAGATTGATTTTTTAAAAAAATGTTGAGTGTTTTGGAATTATTATACCCAAAACCTTAAAAAAAATTGAAATAATTTTTTTATTGTTATAATTATCTATGAAGAAATAATAATATTTTGTAATAATTTTTAACATTTTTAATTTAAATTTATTATATCTATTTACGTTAAATATTATTTTAGATTTTAGGATATTATTCCATGTTTGAAACATACTAGTCAGGAGTTTTTTGGAAAAACATCTTGAAAAGTTTGGTAATTTGGCAAGAATTGTATAGTGTATAATAGAATAAAATTGGTAGATACCATTAATGACTAAATATAAGCAAACAACTTAAGTAAGACACTTGTGAGCTGAGCCCTGGGAGATTATTCACAAACTTTGTGAAATATAGCATTTAGAATTATTTTTATTTATTTTTTAACAATTTGATTTATTTTATATTCTTTCAATATTCAGCACTAAGTTGTTAGTTAGTTGTTATTTTAATAATAAAAAGTTTCATTCCCACTACAAAGGTCTCGCTTAAGTTGTTTACCCTATTTATATACTTTTAATTTCAATGTTATCATTTTGTTTCAGACATTAATGTCAGGGTTGAAAAATATAATGGTTACTCAGTTTTACGAAGAAGTGCCAGTGAAACTAATCTTATTTATAGAAGACGTAAAATGACCCAAGAACATCTAAAAAAATCAGATGTTGATAGAGGTATTCTTAAAATTTTCTGTGACCTGTATATTAGAAATGCTTATTTTATTCACTTATTTTTTATAATTTCTTTGTATCTTATGATTTTTATGATGCCCCCTGGAGAAAAAATAAATAAAAATAGAATAACTGATATACCAATCTAGGCAAAGAAAATTACGTTAACATTCTTTCTTTTTTTTTAACATGCTTTCAACATAATTTCATTTAGTTTCTTTCAGAAATTCCTCATGCTTTCTGATTGCTGAGATTTTTATTTTTCCCAACAGAAATCCTTATATAAACATTTTCTTTCTGTATTTTTCTCTATCCAATCTTCCTCAGTAACATTGAATTTTTTCTTCCTTCATCTCTTTAATATAGCCACTTTTAAGTTTTATAGTCTCAAAGTTTATTGTAAAAATTGGATAAATAGTACCCTAATCACCTATCATGTTTTTCATAATTGTGGATTGATGGTTTATTGTAATAAAGAATTGAAGAAAAGATTGGTTGGGGTGATCAGTCAAAAAATTAAAAATAAATAAGTATATTTATGTTTGCCGGCGTTTCAGTCCAAAGTTTTGGAGCTCAAAAATACTAAATAGATCCGAGCAACAGCGCCTGGTCAGGAGCACAGAGATATGAGGAATTCTGTTGAGATCTGGTGAAACTCCAATGGTCCTGGTAATGAGTGTGGGTGCAGTGCTGGGACTAATTTTCGGGGACAGAAATTTAGAAAATATAAAAACGTTCCAAAATATTCCGATTATATTTGAATTACACAAATCACTTAATTTTTCAATTGGGATCGCCTATGTCTCAGAATAGTTAAATTGTGCTGAAGATGAAATAGTGTCTGAATTTGAGAACCACAGAGTTTTAAAGGTTAAAAGAATATATAAAAAAATAAATAATGAAAATAGAGCCACTCCGTTATTGATTTTGAAATGAAAAAATAATTTTATTCTGGGACTACTGTCCCCTAAGAATAATAACAGAGTTACAAATTTATGTATCTTAGTCTGACATAATAAAAATACCAACTAATTTATTGTTAATTGTTATTTCATTTGTGCAATGGATTGAAATTAAACATTGTATAGATGCAAGTAACTTTACATGTTAGGGGAAGTTTGAATGTGGAGTAGGTGTTGGAACAGGAGTTGTTTAAAGGAATTTGTGGATGAGGATTGTCGCAGTTTAAAGGAATTTGTGGATGAGGATTGACGCATGGAGGTAGGAAGTGAGTTCCATAAGGAAGCAGCACGAATGACGAAGGATTTGCTGAAGAAGGAAGTTTTATGGGAGGGAATATATAAGTCTATAGGTTGAGACCTAGTATTGAGAGAGTGGATAGAGGAGCGCAGAGTAAGGAGTTCCAGGATGTAGGGAGGGTTTTTGGTTCTGAAGACTTGAAAAAGGAAAACGCCAAGAAGGAATTGTCGTCGGGAAGTAAGATAAAGCCACTTCAACTCGGTGTACCATAGTGAAACATGTGAACGCCTGGGGATCTCGAAAATGTATCTTATGAAACAATTCATGAGTCTTTTTAGTCTCATTTCCAGCCTGGCAGATAGCCCTCCATACACCAAGCAGCCGTAGTCGAAGTGGGGGAAAACAAGGGAGGTTACAAGGAGCTGTCTGGTTTTTAGTGGAATACAATCACGGAATCTTAGGAGTTGTTTAAGAGCAGTTATGGATTTTCGGGTAATCTGGGAGATATGATTATCCCAGGAGAGGTTCTGGTCAAAGGTTACTCCTAGGTTTTTGACTGTAGGGAAAAAATGGATGGGATGGTTATTGAGGTAAAGTAGAGGAAAGTAAGGAAGGGAGCTGATGAGATGTCTGGACCCGATGATAATAGTCTTGGTTTTATCTGCATTCAGCTTTAATTAATTTATTTCTGCCCATCTGCTGATGCAGTCGATGTCCTCTTGTAGCCTCCGGGCAGCCTCAGGCATCTCAGAAGGTTGGAATGATTGGTATATTTGGAAATCATCGGCATATAGGTGGTAATTGGAGTGTTGAATGGCGTTAGGAAGGTCACTAATATAGATGGAGAAAAGGGTCGGGGAGAGTGAGGAACCCTGAGGAACACCTCGCGTTAATTGAAGTGATGATGATGGAGGTTTATTCGGTATTGTAACTGTCTGAGATCGATTGGATAAGAAGGATAGGAACCATTTTAGGACGCTATTTGACATGGGCAGGCTTTGGAGTTTGGAAAGAAGGATCTCATGATTAACGGAATCAAACGCCTTGGAAAAGTCAAAGAGAATTAGGATGGAGATTTTCTGTTTATCTATGGCGGATTGGAGGTCTTGGGTAATCCTTAGCAAGGCAGACTGGGTGGAATACTGGGAACGGAAACCAGATTGTAAGGGATTGAGGAGATGGTTTTGCTCGAGAAAGCTGTTCAACTGAGAGTGAACTAATCTTTCTAGAGGCTTGGATAGATTGGATAGAATGGAGATGGGTCTGAAGTCTGAAGCTGATGAAGGAGTTGGAACTTTGTTGTGGACGGACTATGGCTCTTTTCCAGGATTTGGGAAAAATGGAGTTTTGGAGAGAGAAATTATATATGTGTAGAAGTGCGGGTAGTAAAGCTGGAAGGCAGAGTTTGATAACTTTAACAGGTATTTGGTCAGGACCATAATCATTCGTTTTGGATTTAAGGGTGGCAGAGAGCAGGTCAGTAGGAGAGATGTCGAGAAAGTAAAACTTATCAGGATCAAAGGGGGTTTCGGTAATGGAAAAAGATGAGCGGTCAGATGGAGATGTGGATAGAAAATAGTTAGTGAAAAAAGAATTTAGCGTGTTAGGATCGATTGGATACTGTGTGCAGGTTTTCGAGGTAACAACAGAGAGGTTCTTAAGGATTTTCCATTTGAATTTAGGGTTAGGTTCTTGGGATAAAACGTTATTGAAGTATTGGGCTTTGGCGCGACGTAGGGTCATTTGTGTGAGATTTCGTAGGGATTTAAATGTGGAATAATGCTGAGTTAGTCTAGTACGTCTGTATCGTCTTCTAGCAGTTTCTCTTCTCCTCATTAGTTATCTTATTTCTGTATTGATCCAAGGAGCGGGGGGACGTCTAAAGACACGTGTTTTTAGAGGTGCATGACGATTGAGGAAATCGAGGAGGTTGGAGGAAAGGCATTCAACCATATCATCGATGGAGGGGAGAGAATAGATGGGTTCTAAGCAAATGGAAAGAGAATCGAGGAAGGGGCTGATGTTTTCAGTGGTTAAGGAATCTAGATCTCTCCAGGAAATTTGTTTGGGTTTAGGTGAAGGAGTAGAGAAGTTGTATGTTATTTCAATAAGATCGTGGGATGAAAGGAAGGGAACTGAAATTTATGTAGAGGATAATAGGTTATGTGGGGAATCAATAATAAATAAATCTAGCCAAGTATCAGTGGATTGGGTGGGTTGAAAGGGTATAATAAATAGATCTAAGGAAAAAACTAGGTCGGTTAGATATGTTCTGTCCGGAGTGTTTGAAAGGAGGTTGGTGTTGAGATCACCAGCAATAATAATGTTTTCGTAGAGAGGAATATATGTAAGGAGGGAGGATTCGAGAGTGGTATCTAATCGGACACGAGGAGGTCGGTAAATAACGATAAAGAGTAGAGGAAAGGTACTAAAGGAAATCTGGGCAAACAGATATTCTATGTTAGGGACGTCTGAATGAGGAGATTTTAGAAGGACTTTGGCCGTCAAACTGTCATGTACGAACAATCCCACACCTCCACCTGTTTATTCCATTCGATCATGACGGAAGAGGGTATAGTTGGGTAAGGAAACGGATAGGGAGGGAATATCAGGTTTGAGCCAAGTTTCTGAAACGGCCATGATATGATGGAAGTTATGATGAAAATAATCGAGGAATTCGTCATAATGTGCTAAAAGGGATTGGGTGTTAACGGGACAGGATATTAAGGTATTGGTCATAAAGAGGTCAGGGTAAGGATAATCTGCGGAGTGTGACAAAATGGTTTTAATATTGATGGAATAGGCACATTTTTAAACTTACATAATGAGATATAATAACAAATTATGTACATTATATTGATATAGATCTTACTTGAAATCTTTAAATGAAGGTAAGCATAGAAAAAATTAAAATCTGATTCAAAGTAAAATAAGAAAATTTCATCTTTAAAAAAAATACTTAATAAGCAATAGAATAAATTATTATGAAATATAGAAACAAAAAAGACCAATAACATATTTAAAAAATAAAAATAAAATAAAAGATATTCTTAAAAAAGAGGTTGGAGGGAACAGTGAGACCTATTTCATTCCAGCAATTCAATGTCTTCCTTTTTGTTGACGATGATGAACGGGGATCCATCCTGTCTTCTGTATAGTACCTTTCCTCCAACGAACCATACGTATCTCAGCATACCCGACGCCCTTTTCTGCCTTGCCAACCAGTATAAATGCTTATTACCTGGACTCATTTCTTCGCCCACATAAATTCTCTCGTTGCTGTTCCGGCCCAGATGCCGCGTGGAAAAGTCCCTCTTGATCTTGCGCAAGTGGATGACTTCGTCACGCACCGTCCGGCGGACGAATCGCACGACGATTGGCGGTGGCCTAGGGTCCTCTCTTCTGGTCCTTTTCCTCTCCACAAAATCCAGGTCTTCAACACCCAGCTTTATGCCCAGAGCTGCACCAATAGAGCACACCAAGCCCTCGGTAGATTCTCCAGCATCGGGTGTGATACCTCGTATTTCCAGGGTGTTAGATAGTTGAGCTTGTTCTGTTTGGTTAAGTCTCACCTCCAGGTTGCTAATTTGAGATTTTAGCTGTTTATTCTCACTGAGTAAATTTTCTATTATTTTCTCTTGCTTCAATTCTATCTCTTCTATTTTTTTAAGTCTCTCATTATTTTCAAATGCGAGATCGCTTTGCTTTCCGAGCGAGACTTTAACTTCCTTTATATTCCCAGCGATCTTTTTAACCTCAGCCAAAATAGAGGTATTGCTCTCTTATGGCACATCCACGGTTGCTGTGCCCTGTTAACTTTGAGGTTTTGTACATGATGTACAAAAGTAATTTTTTTTTGTTGCTGCGATAAGTCGGCTTCAGAGACGTTAATACATTTTTTATAGTATTTTGACGTTTGAAAAGAGTGAATTACCAGAAAGAGTTTTATTGGATTTATTGTCCATAAAAATTAGACCTTATGAACCAAAGCCACTCCTTTGTTTTTCTTGTTATAAATATAGGCGTACTAGAAAGCATTGTAATATTATTAATTGTGGAAAATGTGGAGAAAATTCACATAACTCTGACAATTGCATAAACGATCAAATTAAGTGCCTGAATTGCCTTGGTAGTCATCCTGCTTATAGTTCTAAATGTCCAGTATACGATAGAGAGAAAAGGATAGAGTGTATGAAAACTCGGGAGAAAATTTCATATCGTGAAGCAGAGTTTAGGTTGAAGATCGAAGAATTACCCAATGTAAATGACTCATGTAGAACACACGCTGAGGTTGTGGCTGCGCATGCTCAGCCTGCCCCCACTTCCGAAGAGCGAATCATCTTTGACAACAGAGGCTTTAATTAAATAGTTCTCAAAATTATCTAGCACTGTAAAAGTTTTATTTAAAAAGATAAGTATAATGGAATCTACTTTAAACAAAATTAATTCTGATAATAAGATCGACTACTGTGACAAATTAATCGTTTCTTTATCGAAAAATAATAATCAAACTGAAAATAAAGTCAACATTAGGAAGGGAGGTCATATAGCGACGCTGATAAAAAATCAAGGTCACGCAGCGTGTTTTAATTTTATTTCTTATTTCATTTTTTTTTTTTTTTCTTCCCTCACTTTCTCCTGACATGTTATGAGATTTTATCACCAACTTATGTCTTCTAACGGTGCAACAACGAGGTCTTGCTCTGTCGGATCTACACCACATTCGTCACTTGCGAAAAAAAAAACTCGCCGATCGAATAGAATGACACCACCTGCAACTCCACCTACAGCAACAGATAATATTGAACCTCAACCGGGTACATCTCAGGATACGAGGGAAGAATCTCCCTTTTTCACCCCAAATCCTTATGAGGTATTTCAAAATGAAAAAGAGACAATAGAATCTACACCCATTCCCAGAGAACCCAGACCCCCTCCAATTTTCGTTAAAAATCTAAAAAATTTCCCTTTATTATGCACCCAGTTGAACAAAATCACAATTCCTGGTAGCTACTCCTGCTTAAGCCGCACTAAAGATATTAAAATATCCCCTGGCACAGCTGATGCATACCGCCAAATAATTAAATACTTATCAGACACAAAGGCTGACTTTCACACCTACCAATTGAGGCAAGAACATTCCCTGAAGGTAGTAATCCGAAATTTACACCTCCCTACTCCAGTCGAGGTGATTCAAGAAGAATTGATAGCCCTAGGTTTCAAAGTTCGACAGGTCACCAATGTTATGAAGGACGACAGAGACCTGTCTGGAGCAAATAATAGAAAGATAGCATTACCTCTATTTTTCATCAATTTAGAACCCTCAGCAGGAGTAAAAAAAATATATGAAATCAACAGAGTATATTATACAGGTGTCAAGGTTGAAAAACCATACACTAAAAGAGAAATCGTCCAGTGCCACAATTGCCTGGCATATGGACACACCAAAACATACTACCACCACATCCCAAGATGCATGAAATCACAAGACTGGTGAGTGCAAGAAATTGAAAACTACTCCTGCAGTATGTGCTTTATGCCTGGAAGGACATCCTGCTAACTACAAGGGCTGCCAGATGTATAAAAACATCAAAAATAAATTTCGTAAACCCCGGAACCCAGAAGTGGGCCTGCTAAAATAGTAGACTCTAGAGTATCTTATTCTCAGTTACAAGGGGGTAGAGTCCCGACTGATAAATGTGAGTAACAGGAACCCCTATCCCAACTCCAACACACTATCCCTCCTAATGTATAAAACTCTCAACAACCTCATCAACGTCACATTCCTTATATTCCTCCTCCATCACAAGCCACTGATCTCACCAGTTTGTTAGCATCTTTCCTCACCGAATTCAAAACCCTCATCACTCCACTGATATCTCTCCTTACAAATCTAGTATCTCACCTCATCCCTCCTTTAAAAAATCCTTAAATGAATTCCATCAAACCCTTATCCATTCTCCTTTGGAATGCAAATGGTGTTAGAAACCACACTGACGAACTAACAGCTTTATTGCTAGATAAGAACATCGATGTAGCCCTTATTACCGAAACTCGACTGACAAAAAACAAATTTTAAATATTCCTCAGTACTCAACATATCGTACTGACCACCCAGACAGTAGAGCACATGCCAGTACTGCAGTCGTTGTACACCAATCCCTCTCTCATCACATGTTCCCATACTAGCATCAGCGTATTGCCCTTCCAACCAATCCACCTTTAATATCCAATTTAGTTCCTTTCTCAATTCCTTAGGACACCATTTCATCCTGAGTACAGACTTAAACGCCAAGCATCAGCAATGGGGTTCAAGAACTACGAATTCTCGAGGTCAAACACTGCTGTCTGCACTCAATTCCCAACATTTTAACCACGTTCCCCCGAACTCACCTACCTACTGGCCCACTGATACTAACCGTAATCCCGATATCCTTGATTTCTTCATCCACAGTGGTTTAGATCCCCTCAACTATTCCATTGCATGCCTTGATAAACTTTCCTCAGACCACTGTCCATTAATATTCCAAGTATCACTAGCTCCTATTCCTAAACCCTCCCCACCGTCCTTCATCAGAGGCCCAGTCAACTGGAAACTCTTCCATCAAATCCTTTCCGAGCAAATTGACCTCAGAATAACCCTGAAAAGCCCAGAAGACATTCCTTAACCACCACCATTCAACAAGCAGTCTGGACTGCTTCCTCTCCTAATCATTCCTCAAGAATTTCAAAGAAAAATAAATCACCTCATCATATCCTCGACCTAATCCATACCAAACGCCGTGCCAGATTGTTATGGCAATGTACCAGACATCCCACCAACCACAGCTTCTATAACTATCTCTGTAAACAACTAAAGCAAGAATTATCCAACTTCAAATCTCAATCTTTTAACTCCTTCCTTACCTCACTCTCCTCTCACGACAATCCCCTCTGGAATATCACTAAAAAAAATCCTAAAAACCCATAATATTTCCCATCCCCTCCGTCGAGGTGATGGATGGCTCCTGAGCGGTGTCTAATGAAGACAAAGCTGAGGAATTCGCCAAACACCTTTCCAGAACATTTACTCCTCATCCCGAATCCAATCCGACCCACACTACAAAAATAGAAGAATTCCTTTCTTCACCAATTCCACTCTCTTTACCACCAAAAGCAGTTCATCCATCTGAGGTCAAATATCATTTACAAAACTAACATTCTGCAAATCTCCTGGATATGACCTTCTAACCCCACAGATCCTTCATCTACTACCACCCAAAGCAATCATGTTCCTCACATACATATACAACTGCATCTGCATCCTAAAAACTACCCATTTTCCTCTCTTATGGAAACATTTCACCATTGCCCTTTTCTTGAAACCTGGCAAACCTTCCAATAATACATCATTATATAGACCAATTAGCCTACTCCCAATCCTTTCAAAAATGTTTGAAAAAATACTACTGAAAAGAATCCTACCCATAATAGAATCCCAAAACCTTCCTACCCACCAATTCGGATTCCAACATTCCACTGTCCAACAAGGACTCCGACTTGTTGACCACATATTCTCAGCCCTAGAAAGCAAAGAGTATTGTTCGGGGGCATTGCTGGACATCGCGCAAGCTTTTGACCGGGTATGGCACACCGGTGACAGTCAGACCTATCATACTTTACTCAGCTTTGCTATGGTGGCACAAAGCAAAGACTGTAGCCAACTCATCCTTATTAGGAAAGATTCAAAGGCTTGCATTTATAATGATAACAGGTGCGATGAGCACGACACCGACGGCTACCATGGAGGTAATGTTGAACATGCCTCCGCTGCAGCTGGAGGTGGAGGCTAGGGCAACAAACACATTATACAGGATTAGCATGTCAAATTACTGCTCACCAGTCCCCTGCCAAGGAGGACACACAATACTGCTGAATAGGACTGGACGTGAAGGAGTGCTAGCTATGCACTCTGACACTTTAATCCGAGAATATCAGGACCGAAAATATAAGGTTGGGATAGACAGCATCAGACAACATAAACCAATTAGTGGTATAAATTGCTACACAGATGGCTCTCTAACAGCCTTCGGCTCTGGAGCAGGCATCTATCGCAGGCATCAAAGAAAAAATTTCTATACCACTTGGCAGACATGCTTCAGTATTTCAATCTGAGATACTGGCAATCTGCCATTGCACACAAAACTTACTGCGAAGCAATGTGACTGGGAAAAAGATTACCATCTATACCGACAGTCAGGCAGCAATAGGTGCTATTAACAACTATTACGTTTATTCAAAGGTCGTTAAGGAATGCAACACAGCACTTAACAAACTAACTGAGCACAATAGAGTTGCAGTGGAGTGGGTGCCTGGTCACTCGGGCATACCAGGCAACGAGGTGGCTGACGAACTAGCCAGATTGGGCTCAGATACCATTCCTGTAACTCCTGAGCCTGTCTGTGGAATCAGCCTCAGCACTGCCAAGGGTAGGATCAGGGAGATTTATGGGAACAAATTTAGTAATTACTGGATCGACAAGAAATAGCGACATTCGAAGCTGTTCCTTAAAGGCCCATGTGAAAAAAGAAGTAAACTGCTACTGAACATGGACAAAGCAGCCCTTAAAAAGCTTACAGCAATCTATACAGGTCACTGTAAGCTAAACTACCATATGTTCAATCTCCAAGTAATGACGAATCAGCTATGCAGATTCTATCAGGAGGAGAATGAAACAGTTTTTCACATCATATGCAGATGTGATAGATTTACAAGGCTGAGACTGGTGTTATTTGGGAAGGAATGAATGGATCTCCTCAGAAGTTATGAGTCGGTCAATCCAATCAGCCTACTTGGATACGCGGAAGCAACAAGATTAATGTTTTAATTAAAACGACCAACTGAAATTGGGACACAATGGACCCATTAGGGGTCGACGTGTTCATGGCCAACACGGAAAAAAAAAAAAATGGCACGCCGGACTGCTCTGCTTAAATCCCATCTACCCCATTCCTTATATCTTATCCTCCAATCCTTCCTCTCTGACCGCTCCTTTCAAGTTTGCTGTGGTACAGAATCCTCCAACTGTCATTCAATCAAGGCAGGAGTTCCTCAAGGCATTGTCTTGGGTCCCGTCCTCTACATTCTGTTTACCGCTGATATTCCTACTCATCCCGAAACACTCTTGGCAACATTCACTGATGACACAGCCATCTTATCTTCCAATCCAGATCCTGAAACAGCATCCTTAAACCTACAAAGTCACCTCTCTCTTATTGAACACTGGTGTAATAAATGGCGAATCCAAGTAAATGAATCCAAATCCAAACATATCACTTTTACCCTTCGGCGCAGTTCCTGTCCACCAGTCTACTTCAACTCTATAC